TATGTCCTTGATCTTCTTAAAGAAGCCGGAAAACTTGAATGTAAACCCTTTAGTACTCCTATTGAGCAGAACCAAAAGATGGGTTATGAAGAGGAGAGTCCTCCAGTTGATAAAGGACAATATCAGCGTTTAGTTGGGAGACTAATATATTTGGCTTCTACTAAACCAGATCTTGCTTATGCTGTCAGTATTGTAAGTCAATTCATGCATAATCCGCAATGGAGAGAATTCATTAATATCTTAGAGCCACTACTGGTAAAGGACTGTTGTTCCGGCGTAATGGCACGTACCCTTCTCATTCATATGAACGTCCCACTCCGTTTTTGGGCAGATGCTATTATCACCTCATGTTTCCTTATCAACCGCATGCCCTCTTCTGTGCTAAATAATGATGTTCCCCACAGTATTTTATTTTCCGGAGCACCTTCTTATAGGCCTTTACATATTTTTGGCTGTACTTGTTTTGTTCATATGATCTTACTCCAGGTAAAGACAAGTTGACATCCAAGGCCTTCAAATGTATCTTCCTTGGGTATACACGTTTTCAAAAAGGGTATCGTTGCTATTCTCCTGATCTCAAGCGTTATATCGTTTCTGCTGATGTCACTTTCCTTGATCAGCAGCCTTTTCACTCTACTCCGTCTCCAGTGTCACAGGTTGATCAGGTCCTTCCTGTTCCTTTTCTTGACTTGTCTTTACCAGCTGCAGGTGACCCTATTCCAGAGGAGCAACCCATTACCTCCATACCTGCAGATCGTCCTCTCCTCACATACCAGCGTCGTCAGCCTGCACCTCCTCCGACTTTGCCTCTTGATGACTCATCGCCCTTTCCCATTGGCTCTTCTCCTCCGGATCCTCCATCAGAGACTCCTCCCATTGCCCTTCGGAAAGGTATTCGATCCACTCGAAATCCTCATCCCCTTTATTCTTTCTTGAGTTATGACAGACTTTCTTCACAACATTTTACTTTTGTTTCTAGTCTCTCTTCTGTTTCCATCCCTAAAACCACAGGTGAAGCACTATCTCATCCAGGGTGGCGCCAGGCGATGCTTGATGAAATGCAGGCACTTCACTCCAATGGCACTTGGGGTCTTGTTCGTTCTCTTCTCGAGAAATCTGTTGTTGGTTGTCGATGGGTGTTCACAGTTAAAGTTGGTCCTGATGGCACTGTTGATCGCCTTAAAGCTCGCTTAGTGGCCAAGGGATACACACAGATCTTTGGTCTTGATTATGGGGATACCTTTTCACCTGTTGCTAAGATGGCTTCTGTTCGCCTGTTTCTTGCCCTTGCCGCCATTCATCACTGGCCCCTTCTCCAACTTGATATTAAGAATGCTTTTCTACATGGTGACTTGCAGGAGGAAGTTTATATGGAGCAACCACTAGGTTTTGTTGCTCAGGGGGAGAGTTCTGGAATGGTATGTAAACTTCGGAAATCTTTATATGACCTGAAGCAATCTCCTCGGGCCTGGTTTAGCCGCTTTAGTTCAGTTGTTGAATCCTTTGGCTTAATCAGAAGCAAAGCCGATCTTTCTGTCTTTTACCGGCATAGCTCTTCTGGCCAGTGCATTTATCTCCTGGTCTATGTTGATGACATTATCATTACAGGCAGCGATCAGACCGGGATTGATCAGTTGAAAGAGCATTTATTCAATCAATTTCAGACCAAAGATCTTGGCAGACTTCGATATTTCTTGGGGATCGAAGTTGCACAGTCTAGGCGGGGCATTTCCATCTGTCAGAGGAAGTATGCACTGGATATCCTAGATGAGACTGGCATGTTAGGCTGTAAACCCATTGATACACCTATGGACCCCAATGTTAAGTTATTACCAGGACAGGGGGAGCCACTGCCAGATCCTAGTCACTACCGCCGACTAGTTGGAAAATTGAATTATCTTACTGTGACAAGGCCAGATATCTCCTTCGCAGTGAGTGTTGCAAGTCAATTTCTTGATTCTCCCTGTGACTCCCATTGGGATGCAGTTATTAGAATTCCCCGATATATTAAAAAGACGCCAGGAAGAGGTTTATTATACACAAATAAAGGGAGTTCAGAGATCTCTAGTTATTCAGATGCTGACTGGGCAGGTTCTCCTTCAGATAGACGATCCACCTCAGGAAATTGTGTTCTCTTCGGAGGAAATTTGATCTCTTGGAAGAGTAAGAAGCAAACTGTGGTCGCCAGATCCAGTGCGGAGGCAGAATATCGGGCAATGGCAAATGCAACCTGTGAGCTCATCTGGCTGAGACAATTGCTTAAGGAACTCCATCTCTGTGAACAACGGCCTATGAAGCTCATTTGTGACAATCAAGCCGCCTTGCATATATCCTCTAACCCAGTATTTCATGAGAGGACCAAGCATATAGAAATTGACTGTCATTTTGTTAAAGAAAAGATCCAGTCAGGGGAGATCGAGACAGCATTTGTCAATTCCAATGATCAATTTGCGGATGTATTCACTAAAGCTCTTAGAGGTCCCCGAATAGATCATATTTGTAACAAGCTGGGAGCTTTTGATATATACGCACCAGCTTGAGGGGGAGTGTTAGAAATAATATTAGTCTATTATTATTAGATTAGTCTAGATTGTGGGCTTAGCCCATTAGGTCTTTTAACATTAGGTCTTTTAGTCTCTATAAATAGAGAGCCTTCTTGTACAGTTATACACACTTGAATATACAATAATATTCAGATTCAATTAGAATTATACTTAATGATCTTAAAATAAGATGTGAAGGACCTATGAAGCTGTTTTGTCATAATAAGTCCGCCATTTGTATAGCTCATAATCCAGTTCAACATGATTGAACTAAGCACATTGAGGTCGACCACCATTTTATCAAAGAGAAGCTCAATAGTGGGTTGATCACCACTCCATACATCCCTTCTGGACGTCAATTAGCTGATATTCTGATAAAAGGACTTCCCTCAGAAAGGTTTCAAGAGCTTACTAGCAAGTTGAAAATGATAAATATCTATTCCTCACCTAGAAGGGAGTGTTGTAAATAATTGTATTTGTTTATTTCTTTATTTATTTACTTCCATTCTAGAATCTTCTTTGGGCTTAGCCCATTAGGTTATTTAGTTTCTTTAAATAGAGAGCAATTGTACAGATGTAATACACTCTTTTTTCAACTAAATCTTTTAAGGCACAAAATGATATTTTTTGTCCTATCATTGTGCCATGTCTATCAAAAACATGAGCCCTTTTCCCCCTGTGACTGTGATGGTACCTGAAGAGGAATTATATTAAATTGGTGTAAAAGGAAAATGGGGACAAACCCTTAAAGAACCAACTCAAGAACAAGAACCACTACAAAAAATACCCAATACTAATTACAGTAAGAACTCCAAGTCTCATAAACCATGGAGACGTATTTCACCTCTGATTTCCTCTCTCAACCCATTAAGTAATGCCGCTTGCATCATTTCTTTGTCGGCATAGCGAAGCGGAGCTTAAAGCAACTTCAAACTCTAACAGTAATCTGCCACCGTTCCATTTGGGCGAAGGCACATAAGGGCCTCATAGTGATTTCCTGAAGAAGAAGAAGAAGAGTGAAACAGCTGTAGAACAGCCTAACGGAAATCATCCCAAGTGATTAATGGGTTTCGAGGTTCCCACTGGAACCAATTGAGGGCTCTTCCTTCAAGGCAAATCAAGGCGGTCTCTACATGCTCTTCTGTTGAAATCCTATTGATTTTGAAATAACACTCCGCCTTGTAAATCCAAGCATAAGGATCCTCACCTGCAAAGTAAGGAACCTCCACCCTTCGCATCCTTTTTTCTTCCCAGCTATTTCCCATCGTCTGTGATTCACCTTCACCATTTTCTCCCCCTGCTTCCTCTTGATGGGCACATTCGTTCCTTTCTATACGATGACCCAATCAATCCATGAATTCCACCATCATCAAATTCAGTTCTCAAATGGAATTTTCCACTCCCCCATTGGACTATAGCCATTGCAGATTCCTTACTGGACTGCCAATTCCCCTTTGGACTTGGGCTGTTCATCTTGAGCCTCTTTACCTTTCTTCCTCCACTTCTTTCGTGTGTACACAAATGCTAGCAGCCCATCAGACTGAAACTTTACTCTGTGAGTTCTCCATCATGTTAATATGTTCTACATCATTTCAGGACTTAATTACTTCTAAATCTATGATTTAGGATCTTATTTATGGCTCATATAAGATTCACGGTATCAAAATCTTTCAAGTGTCAAAATCTTGTAAAACTTGCATTAAAATGAATGTGACAAGCATTTACTTCATGTTATATGCACAAACATCTTTTATATTGTGTTTCTTCAAAAGTTATTTATCAAGTATGATACAATTCATGATTCATAATTTGAAAAGAGCCGATAAAGGCCTTCTTCTTTCAATATTTGTTGAGATTAGACAACTAAAGTCAATGCCAAGGTTGTCAAGATATGTACAAATATCCTTTATATTGTGATCACAATCTTACACATTGAAATCACCAATCCAGATAGTACATCACAGTTAGGGATTTTTTCAACTCCCTAATTCATGAGTTTGAGAGGACATATTAATAAATAAATGCTTTGTAGTCTGTCTTGTTCATATACCTTTGTATGTACTTAGTCTAGTCTGGCTTTATCTGATCTTTTATCTCAAGTTAGTTAGTTGTTAGTCTTTTGTCAGAGTTTGTTCTAATGATTGCTCAGCCTTAGTGCTGAGTCAGATTCCTTTTAGGTCTATCAATAGAGCTCAGTGTACGTTGCTTTGTATCAATAATTCATTTTCAGAAACTCTCTCTCTCAAGGCTTTTAAGTTTTAATCTCGTCACTTTTGTTCTTACAAGTATTTTTGACATTAAACACGAGTTTCATATTAAGTATTTCTTTAATATTTTAGTGCTAATTTAAATGACTTTTCTTATTTGTTTGTAGTCTTGTGTGTGGGTTATAGTTTTCTCTTGATGCTATGTTATTACTTAAAGTAAATAAAATAAGAATGACTAATCTATACTTACCCAATAACCCGTCCATATTGTCCCTGCCCTCCTGTTTGCTTCTTATGTAAATAATCAAAATCAGCATGTTGAGTAACAGTTTCTCTGAAGTTCACACGGGGCTTTCCAACTGATGCATCAACCTTAACAGGAAAAGACATAAGAATCAAACTTCAGAAGAAACAGACATTTAGCCAGCATCAATAAGAAAGGGGGAAAAAATGTGCGGAGGAAAAAAAGGGTACCTTATACTCTCTCTTAATGCGTTCAACATAGATATCTAAATGCAGTTCCCCCATTCCAGAAATGATCGTCTATCCACAAAAGCATACTAACGTCATGATAAGAAAAATGATACTCACTTAAATGAGAAAGGTATAAGAATGAAGACAACCTGCCCACTCTCTGGGTCCAAGCCAACACGGAAAGTAGGATCCTCCCTTTGGAAGCGATTCAAAGCTTTTGAAAACTATAAACAACACATGGAGAAAGTCAATTATAGATACAACCTTTTTTTCAAGCTGAGGCAGGGGGCTGGCATGCTACAAAAAAGAAGTTACTCACTTGCCCTCCAGAATCTTTTGAGACCGGCTGTACAGCTAATGACATCACTGGTTCAGGAACATTCATCGAAGTCATTGTGTATCTAACTGACCCATCAGTAAAAGTATCTCCTGATGATCAAGACAAAAATTATTAAGGCAATATACAAATTAAACGAAACAAAATGTTGAACAGAAAGGACTGCCCCAACACCACATCTCGAACACACATAACCTCAAAAGCACTACAAGATTTAGTTGAATGTAACACTGTTAACAGAAGCCAACATAGATAACAGATCCTCCCCCTCCCCCTGCCCTCCCAAGAAAGAAAAAGGGGGAAAAATGAAGCAGCCTGTAGAGACAGAACTTCCATAGCTTGTAGAGACAGAACTTCCATTACTCGCAATTCTAAAACAAGTAATTGAATGTGATTATCATTCTGCATTCCTGACAGGGGGAAGTTCCCTCCGTGATTGAACACAAAGGTCAAGTTGAATAACACTATCAAATTTGAAGAGAGTAAACATTTCGAAGTTATCTGGTACTAGATTTTGGAATTTTTCAGCCATCTGTAGCCGAAAATGACACCTATTCGTTTGGTGTCCTTGGTGGAAAAATCGTCCTTTCACCTATGTTGAGATATATAGTCCCACATTGGTTGTATGTGCAACTAATGTGGAGTTTATAAGGTCTTGGGCACTCCCACCCTTTGAACTAGCTTTTGGGGTGGTGTATCCCAAGGTTCCCATATCTAATATTCTAACAACCTAAAGCAGTTCATCTTAATACATTTCAAAGGCTATATAGCAAGAATAAGAACCAAAATTTTGTAGCAGTGTGCAGTTTACAGGGTTCTCTTGCATATTCGTTGGAGAGGATTGCCTATATTTAAAGGACATCTCCTTGTCTTTACATGTCATATGAGATTAGATTGTGTTTACAGGCACCTACTGGAGCTATATTCATGGTTGTTAAAGGGAATGTGAACGTTAATTTCTGAAATGCAGAAAGGTTTCACAGGTTTTTTTTCATTTTTCAGCCACTTCGTCCCTTTTACTTTATGAGTACATCTGTTGCATTTTTTTGGGTTTCATTTCAGCCCCTAAAGTAAAATTTATTCTCCATTAAAAAAATATAATGCCCTAAAGAAATCTAAACCACCACCAACAGATTCTAGGCAAACACCTAACCAGCCATAAAGGATTACAAAAAATAAGCAATCTGAAATTTCAGGAAATGCATTAGTTCAAGCAAAGAAAAAAGAAGAACCAGATGCACAATCAACACCAAATACAGCAACTATTTGACCAGCATGAGCCTCTTGAATGTCCTACAGATTTTGGGACAAAAACACAATTAGAAGTTATAAAGGGATGGCAGAGAATAACTTCATATATTTAAAAATGTCAGAATGAATTTAGCAGAAAAACAAAACCCTACAGGTTTACTTTTTGTAAAAAACCAATTCAACCCAAAAGCTTAAGCCGTTGGATGAGATTATGATACAGACCACTCGGTAATAAAATCAATTCACAAAGGAAATTCTGGAAAAGAGACACAAATTGATATATTGATGGATCTGTATCTGTATTACACTTTGGAAATTAAACACACTCTGAGACAATTTACAGTATTCCAGTCTCTATATCTCTAACAGCAAAATTACATTCAATGGAAAAGATAAAAAAGGAAACAGAAAGAAATGATAATGAGTAATTCGGGAGACTCCACACTCTCCCAAGATTCCAGTCCCGAAAATACTACTCAACACCCACTACAGCACCAATGCACCATGCTTCCCTTCTTAACGGATTGGTGCCAGCTCTACATTCTGTTGTGGGGTAGAATGGACATTTGTTGCTGAGTCAGCAGAGACAGCAACAGCAGAGGCCCAAACTCTTTTATTTTTATCTCTTTTGTATACTTTAGTGGGCTGGGCTGTATCAATACTCCCTCCCATTTTAAGAACCTTGTCCTCAAGGTTGAAATTGGGGAATTGACGATTGATGATTGAAAAATCCTCCCATGTATTTTCAAACTCAGGAAGATGAAACCACTTGATCAACACCTCCAGAAATCCCTTGTTGGAACGTCTCCAATGCATCAAGGTTTCTGGTTCCACTTTTAACTCCCATTCCTCCGTTAAGACAAATGGCAGGGGCTGTGAATTAGGCCTAGGACACCCTGCTGGCTTAAGAAGTGACACATGGAGCACAGGGTGGACCTTGCAATCATCTGGCAGCTGAAGTTTTTAAGCTGATTCACCAATACGATCCATGATTGGATAAGGTCCATAATACCTTGGGCTTAACTTTTCATTAACTTTTCTTGCAATAGTCTTGAGCCTGTAAGGCTGTAATTTCAAGTAAACGAAATCCCCAACAGATAATTGCAAATCCCTCCTATGTTGGTTAGCTTGCACCTTCATGCGATTTTGAGCTTTTGAAAGCTGCTGCTGTAAGTCATTTAAAACAACATCGTGTTCATGAAGGAGCTGGCAAACAGCATCAAAGTTGAGCTAGTCTGAACCTCGTTAAAAATGTTTGGAGGATCACTACCATATAAAGCCTTGAATGGGGTCATATCAGTTGAGTCCTCGTGGGTGGTGTTGTACCAGAATTCTTCCCAATGTACTCATTTAGGCCAGCTTTTGGGTTTAGGACTACAAAAACACCTCAAGTATGTCTCCAAACAGCGATTAACCACTACTGTTTGACCATTAGTTTGTGGGTGATAAGCAGTGCTATAATGTAACTTAGTGCCAGCACTCTTGAATAATTCTGACCAAAACGTGCTCAAAAATACTCTCTCTCTATCCGAGACAATGGTGAGAGGGAAACCATGAAGTCGAACGATCTCTTTAATAAACAACTCAGCAACATCTTTAGATATATAAGTGTGACTTAAGGACAGAAAATGGTCATATTTGGAGAGACGACCCACCACCACAAAAATTGTATCTACACCATAAGCTCGTGGCAGTCCCCCCACAAAGTCAATTGAGATATCAACCCAAACTCTAGTGGGTATTGGGAGGGGCTGTAACAACCCTGTAGGTGAAAGATTTTGAATCTTATTTTGTTGGCAGACCTCACAAGATGCTACATATTTCTTAATTGTGCGCTTCATACCCTCCCAATAGATTAAACCAGCAATCCTCTTATAGTTTCGGAAATAACCAGAATGACCCCCTACGGATGAGTCATGAAACTCTTTGAGCAAGAGAGGTATAAATCTGGATTCCCGCGATAAAACTAACCGATCCTTAAAAAACAGTCTCCTTTCCTTCAACTTAAACCCTACATGTTGTTCAGGGTCAATAATGAGGTCGTGCATAATTTTTCTGAGCTTTGGATCGAGTTGAACCTCAGCCTCCCATTGAGCTAAGTCAGGTAGTGGATCAAGTTGAACCTCAGCCTCCCATTGAGCTAAGTCAGGTAGTTACACTTGAGAAACCATAGTCATATGCATCTGCCTAGAAAGAGCATCAGCAACCTGAGTTTGTCTTCCAGGATTATACTGGATTTCAAAATCATATCCCAATAACTTAGGTCCACTTTTGTTGGTCTTCTCCCAGAATTCGTTGCTCAGAAAGGAACCTCAAACTCTTTTGGTCAGTTTTTACTATGAAGTGCCTACCCATCAAATAGTATCTCCATTTCTGCACTGCAAACACAATAGCCATCAACTCCCTTTCATATACTGATTTATTTTGAGCCCGTGGAGAGAAACTTTGGCTGATGAAAGCCAGAGGCCTATCATCTTGTGTCAAGACTGCTCCTATACCCCTCCTTGAAGCATCTGTTACTACTGTAAAAACTTTAGAGAAGTCCAGAAGTGCAAGAAATGGTACTGTACTCATTAATTCTTTCAATTGTGTAAAAGACCGTTCAGCAAGATGATCCCATTTAAGCCCATTCTTCTTCAGCAAATCAGTCAAAGGCTTGGCAATTTTTCCATAGTCCTTGACAAATTTTCTGTATTATCCAATGAGTCCCAAGAAACCCCTCAAAGCCTTAACATTCTTTGAGGTTGGCCAATCAACCATTGTACTAATTTTATTTGAATCTGCCCGAACTCCTTCAGCTGATATAATGTGCCCCAAATACTCTACATGACTTTTACCAAAACTACATTTCTTCTTATTAGCCAGCAGTACATGCTTACGAAGTACTTGAAAAATTTGTTTCTGATGAACTAGGTGCTCTTCACGGCTCTTGCTATATATAAGAATATCATCAAAAAATACTAAAGCAATCTTCCTGAGAAATGGTCTTAATACATCATTCATAAGGGCTTGGAAGGTAGAGGGTGCATTGGTGAGGCCAAACGGCATCACCAAGTACTCATAATGACCCTCGTGCATCCTAAAAGCAATCTTGGGATGTCCTCCTCCCTTATTCTGATCTAGTTGAACCCAGATTTAAGGTCCAGTTTGGTGTACACTATTGACCCTCCTAATTCGTCCAACAACTCATCTACTACTGGAATAGGAAATTTGTCTGGGAAAATCAACTTGTTGAGTGCCCTATAATCAACACATACCCGCCAACTACCATCTTTTTTTTTTTACTAGAATTACTGGACTCAAATAGGGACTAACATTGTGTCTAATCATTCTATTATCAAGCAATTCAACAACTAATCTTTCAATTTCAGATTTTTGGTAGTGAGGATACCTGTAGGGCCGAATGTTGGGTACCTGACTCCCAGGCTTGAGCAAGATGGCATGGTCTTGTGTACGGCTAGGAGGAAGACCTTGGGGTTCTCTGAACAAATCCTCATATTCTAGTAACAGTACCTCAAGCTCCCTCCACGAGATTGACTCATTATCTTGTTTCTGGCAAGATTCTCCAGAACCCAACAAAAAACCTTGACCCTCGTTCCGAAAGGCTTTGACAATAGACTTCAAAGAGCAAATGGATCTGCATAAGGAGGGGTCACCTCTTATTAATATCTCCCTACTTTCTTCTCTGTATTTCAAAGTCAACTCCTTAAAATTAGCTTTGATTTCTCCTAATCCAGTCAACCACTCCAACCCAAGTACTAGGTCAGCTCCTCCCAACTCAAATAGGTACAAATCTTGTGTAATCAAAGTCCCCTATATGTTAACCGTGACCCCAAAACATACCCCTCTACAACTGACCTTGTGTCCATCGCCGACTGCCACTTGGTATGTGGGAGTCTCCGTCACTTCCAACCCAAGCGCATGCACCAACTCCCTTCGAATAAAATTACTCGAAGCACCACTGTCCACTAAAACGACAACCTTCTTTCCCTGAATCTCCCCCCATACCATTAACGACTGATTCGACGAAATCTCCCCCCATACCATTAACGACTGATTCGACGAAAGCCCCATAAGGCTTTGCATTGACAGCTGCAACACTACTTCCTCGTCCTTCTCGGTTACCTCTTGTGTTGAGTCTGGTGGATCGTCTTGTGTTTCAACTCCCTCTTCGTCTTCGAGTATCAGCAAATGAAGTTGTCCCACCTTGTACTTATGCTCAGGATTCCACTTCTCGTCGCACTTGAAGCATATGCCATTTTTCTTGTGCTCCCTTGACCTTCCTGCATACGACCCGCAATTTCATAAGAGTTAGGGATTGCAGACCCCTTTGTTACGTTCGTCATTCTGGAATTTTCATTGCTAATAGATCTCGAATTAGGTATACCCATGCCCGATAGTGGTTGGGTTCCTAATTTTGAGTCAGTTGGGCCCAGGCCCATTCGATGAGCTGAATTTTGTTTGATGGTTCTAGCCAAGTGGGCTCCACTCGCTGGCCCAATTCCTTCTTCACACCAAGCCTGGTTCCTTTTCTCAATATTCACTGATAGCTTCATCATCTCTGTCAAACCTAACGTTGGATACATTAGCAGCTCTTCACGAATGCTGGTTTTAACTCCGTTCAGCAAAGCACCTTTGAGTATCAGAATTTGATCATGGAAAGAAAATGAGATAAACTAGAGTGAGCTAGATCTGAGAAATTACCTTTCTTATTAGCACAAAGTTCAGAAAATGAATCGTTACAAGAGAAAGAATAGAGAGCACTATATATAGACTAGAGCTAACCCAATTGCTGAGTCAACAATTCTAACAAACTAATATATGTCCTATAACAAACTAACAGCTGGCACAGCTTGTACGGGAGAAAGAAATCAGCTAAGTCTGGTACAAACAAGATAAGCTACAACCAGAGAATTAATATCTCATTAATATCTAATATTGAGCAACTCATCATCCTTAAATCTCAACGCTCCTATTACCTTCTCAAACTCCATCCTGAACTCAGTCATGGTTCCAGTTTGCTTCAAGGTATACAGGGCACG